TCGACGCACGCAGCGACATGTCGGCGGCGACTCGGCGACTGTTTGGCGATCATGTTCGTTTATTATAAATTCGGCTAACGGCCACGAAATTTTCATTTTTCATGAAATATTCGTGGCGGTCGTGATGAACCGTAAAAGTCACGCGGTGGACACCGACTGGTCTGCGAAATGCCAAGACCGTGGAAGAAAGATCCCACATCGGTCCGCGACATAAGATGACTTGCATATTCGTGCACATTCGTGTACCAAAATTCGGCTTTATGCGTCTTCACGACCGGTATGATGCTTGCAGTCACACATCTGACCAGTCGGACGAATTTCGAACCGTTCACAGTCACCGTTCCAAAAATTTCTCATTTGGGCTGAAGGCGACACTCAAGAATAAGAACGGATAATTTTCCACTCTCACATTTTGGGTGGCTAGAATTTTCCACTCAGACACCCAAGACAAATCGGAAGTTTGTGACACTGTTCACCAGAAGTGTACCTACATAACTTTTTTTAAAGAAAATGTTAGGGTTGCGCACTCACGCGCAGTGCGCTTGGGCTTTTGAGATAATTCTTTTCCATGCGACACCAATAGGCTTAATGATCATTTTCAGAGATGTTGGGGTTGCTGCTACAACCCTCTTTTGGGGTTCCTGCTACAACCCACTTTATATATAAAGTTGCACTCGTGCTGTTCACAATTCCTCCCGATCCACCTGACAACGCCCGATCTCTTCCGACCGCTTCCGAATCTCCGACTAGTCGGCGAGCGATCCACTCAGGGCTCGCTGATTTTTAACATCCGACCGGCCGTAAGTTATCGTCCAAAGTTTTATAATCTGCGTCAATTTTTGTGCATACTTGTGCCATTTTATGTGCACTGCCGGAGTATCACCGCTGAGAGGGTTGTGGCTCTCTCTGAAGAGTCGGGGGGGGGGGGGGTCGAGCCCCGTTTTTTACATTTTTTAATGCCATCCTGACGTTTTTTTGCAGAATAAAGTGGCCGAAATCTGGGGAGAAATCGAAAATTGTGGGGGGGATGGGCTATGGCTACGAAGGTCAGTCCATGTCGCTGCCCAAGTGGCCCACCAGTCAAAATTCCTTAGCCGAGGCCCTGGCCCATAACAACCCATTAGACCAATTTTAAGCAAAAAATAAAATATGAGGGTGTACGGCTTTGGTCGATCTATCGTGGAATGCCCCAACTACTGTGCCAATCGTCAAAATTCAAACGGCGTCTGATATACCCGGAAAAACTGTCATGCGAAACATAATTTCATTTACCTCGAGGTCACCGATGACGTCACAGGTCAGGTCAAAGTAAAAATTATCGATGTTTGGCTTGTTCACATTTTGGTACAAGCCATACCAGGCTCATTTTTGGTTTACACACACGAGAACAGATGCTTTATATACCCTGAGGGTACCAAACTTGCACTTTGATTTTCAGGTCAGGGTCAGGTCATCACAGGTCACAGAAATCTTATATCATGCATTAGTCACGTGACACATGTTTTATGGTCCATTTAGGCCATAGATTTCCAATTCGATGTCGTTTGTCATTCGAGGTCATTATGAGTTGAATTTAGCTTAGGACGGCCACTTTCAGGTCAAAATTAAAAGGTCATTTTTAGTTTCATTTTTCAACAAAAAAGGTGTTAATCGGATGAAGTTTGAGCTCAGGAACACGATGGTGTTATTTATATTGGTGTACGATGTCGAACCCGTACTGAAAAATTGATTTAAAAAATTTATAATTGTGAAATATTTGCTATAATGTGTATAACTTGGCTACTGTTAAAGATATCTAGCCACAGCTTGCTAGAGTATATCATAAGCATGTGTTCTGTCACATATATTTCGTTTTTTTTGTTAAGTCAACTTTTTGAAAGAAGATAAATATATAAATTTTGAATTTAAGTAAATTTAATTTTCGAAATTTTCAAACATTTGAAATTCTGAGATAGCAGTTTCATAACGCAGTCTATTCTGAGTCATTTCATGTAAAGAAATTGGATCTGGCTTAAACACTGAGCTCTTGAGAGCGATTGCCGTGGTTCAATGTTTTGCGTCTAAATCGGCCGAGCATGACGTCACTCTGACGTCATTTTCGGCCGATCCATGGTAGCTACGAAGTTCATATTTTGACACAATGTGTTAAATCGATGCAGCCAAAGGTACTGAAAGTTTGGCGTCGATACGTTCAGCGGTTTAGAAGTTATTGCAGAAAAACGAGAGGGGGCTATGAATAGCCCAAGAATAGCCCCACCCCCAGTGGGGCGCGGGTTAAGTTATGAGGAGATAATCCCACATTTGATAACAAATTTTATTTGAGATGGAGCCAGATAAATAAATGAGAAATACATGGACGCATTTTGGAGTCTTTCGCGTTTATTTTGCATCTTTCTTTCGGAATGGTTTATTTCTAACTGATGCAAAACGACTTCATTTTTCACGAAATTCTTTACTTACCATTCTACATATATTAGTAATACAGCAGTACCTAACCAAGTCGTCTAATTAAATGCGTTGTCCCCATTCCCGCAGAATATAGCCTAGAGTGCAGCCAATTCATTAACAGTTATATATGTAGGCACTCACTCATGCTTATAAGTGACATGGTTGACTAAACTTAATTAAGAGTGCCTCATTCCGTGTTTCTGTACATCGCATCGGTGTAGTTATTTCAACGTTCATGGCAGGTCGGGGCCTCACTGAGTAGAGGCCGGTTTTTGTGGGCACTAAAATCACAGAGCATGTTTGTGGAACGTTCCGATAGGATCACCGTGCTGCTTTTTACACGGTGCCTAATTGAATTGAATAACAGCGTGTAGTAGAGCCTGTCCCATAGGACGTGGGCGATGAGTGTCAGACGCTCTGCTGTTGCATCAAACATATATGTAGAGAAAGGCTAGAAGAGCATTCGATAGGGCGAGCCCACAACTTTGCTTATAGAAGTTATATTAAAGAAGGATATACATGCGTACCGTGCCTGTATTGTTTGAGCAGTAGCAGTTTAAAGCTTGTTAGCACTAGCCACCAACTACAGTTTCCTTCATATTTGATTTTTTTACTGTACATGCATCATAATCGGTGAGAAGGTAAAAATATCTGTCAAGACAAAACGCGTCTTAGTGTCTCATTTCTAATTGCAAGTGAAAAGGCTGAAATATTTTTCTATCAAACCAGTAAAACGCCTTTTGGGCGAAGAACGAGCGAGCGAGATAGTGAGCCCTGCACGTGCGGAAGGGCGAGAGGGTACATCCAGCGGGCTTGCGCAAAGCACCCCTCTAACCGGTCGCTAGCGGTGTACCAAATTTGAACGCAATCGACCCAGCCGTTCCTGAGATCTGGAAGCGGCATTCTGCACGTGCGCACGTGCAAACGGGGTCCAAACTGACTTTTGCACGGCACCCTACTAACTGGTCCCCAACCGTGTACCAAATTTGAGCGCAATCGGCCCAGCCGTTCTCGAGATCTGGAAGCGCCCCCTGCACGTGCGCACGTGCAGTAGCACCCTAACCGCAACACATGGGAATGCATTGCCTGGTGGGTGCCTACCTGTATGCCAAGTGTCAGCGAAATCGCCCCAGTAATTACCGAGATATTAAAATGGGAACAAATTTGACACCTCTTATTGTTGTATTTTGCACGTGCGCTGGGGGTGACCCACATGCATCGAGAGTATCCTATTTTTGTTAGAAGGGATGCTGCTACCCTACAAAAATCACCGCAAGTCAACCGCCCAAGCGGCTGCTGAGATATGGGCCTCTCAAAATCACTACTTTTGCAGGACAGCTTGAACACCCTTGACTTTTCACGTGACACGTGCCACGACGGTCACTGAGGTGTATCAAAAGTAGTCAATTACGGGGTAGAAGGGATGGGGCTACTCAGCAAAAAAGACCGCATGCCAATCGGTCCAGCGGTTGCTGAGATATAAGCCTCTCAAAAGCGTTACAGGCCGGGCCGGGCCGGGCCGCTCATACTGAGATTTTCCCCTTATATTGAAAAGACTCGCTTCGCTCGCTCGCTCGTAATAAAGCTACACTCGCTGTGAATGTTTCTCATGGGGATGTTTCTAATGGACTATTCACGGGCCATGGTCTATAGCGTTCATTAAATGCAGGACACGTACCAACATCAGAGTCTGTGACAGCCGCAAACGAGCAGCGCTTCATCCATAACCATGTATCAGGTGATCTGAGACTGGCTGTCATCGTGTCCGCGCTCCCGATATCGCGTGTCGTACGTCGTTCAGATTCAGGCGACATCACTGGCATGCTTACGAGCTCTGATCGAACGCAGCACTACATATTTGTGACCCCTTGTGAAAGGACAGGCTTATATAGCTTGCTCAACGGGTTTTATTGGAAAGTAGGCTGATACTATCAAGTATTAACCCTGCAAAGCAAAATTGGGGCCACTTGTAAGCGATCGAAGCTGTTAAGGTACCGTTATTGTAATGCTTACATAATACACTAAAAATTTATCAAACTAAAACTCCTGATTTTAGTGTCATTTTCAGGTCATTTTCAGTTTTCCACTTCGTTTAGTTTACACCGAAGTTTCTTTCACCAAATAAGAAGTTACAAAAGGATCGATCAAGCGGATTCACGCTTCGCACAGTTCACATTAAATCGTCTTGACTGTTTATCTTTTGACATCCCTCGCAAGTTGGTTTGACCAATGCACGAGATCTATAGCAATATTGCAGTTCAACAAATGTAGACGTGGTCCGAACTGGTGATTTTGATGCTGGGCAAAGGCGCACGCTTTTAGTCAAACATTACATTTCAAATAAAAAACCTGCATAGCTTCCAAAAAGTTTGAAGTCCGCTTTTTTAACACCGCAATTAACACAGCATTTTGACACCCACCAACACAACTGGCTTACATACAAAAAGCTACATACATTGCATTATGTCTGCAGCTTTATTTTGACTTTTTCTTAGAAATCACCTTCACGTTCCGCCGTCACTGAGGACAAGACAATTCTTTATTGCCAACAGGAATCGCTATCATGGTCGTCACTCTTCTTGGAGTCGTCCTCCCGAAAGACATCAACCGTGGAGCGAAAGACCACGCCACCCGTGAGAATGAACATCGACATGGAGTCCAAGCTGCAGCGCATCAAACAGAAAGGGTGAGAAAAGAAAGAGGAGAAAGGAGGAACAGGAAAAGAGAGAATAATTTGCTTAAACCGTTCGCTATTATTTCGTGTGCTTTTTTGCGCTCAGATGTTGTATTTGTCGCCAACGAGCATGCCTTGTTCCTCTTGCGTCCGGCAGGCAAAACCGGCACACATTGTCCCACGTGGAGGACAAGTTGTGCGAAATGTACCGCGCCTCTGACGATTCCGGACGAGTAAACGTCACTAAATTCCTGGAGGTATGTTGTTCTCACAATATCTCAGAATGACACACTCCAAGCGTATACCGCCGTTTTTACCATAAAATGCCCAGCCCATTGCTAACTTTTTTATGAAAAAGTAAAATGCTTCAGTTATTATTGTTCCTTGGAATATACGTATTCCCATCAATTGTAAATGATGGTCAACCATTTCTTTTGTCGAGACGCTTGGCCAGTGTACTCAGCTCACACCTCGCTACCTGCGTGTGACTGTCTCAGGCGCTGGCAGCCGTGGGTCTGCGCCAGACAGACCCGCGCCTCACAGAAATGAAGCGCTCCATTCTCAGCGTGCAGTCCTCGTGCGCCAGAGACTCGCGATTCTGGTCCAACAACGGCCTCTGCTTCGACGAGGACATCTTCAAAGGGTGCGCAGCTGAGTGCTAGCCTGGTCGAGAAGCTTTTCGGAGAGCTTTTGCGGAGCTAGCTTCATAAAAGTGTCGTACAAGCAACGATAACATTTTCATTATCGCTCGTAGTTATCCCATTTACAATTGGCACACTGCTTCTATTTGTATCCCCAGATGGCACGTTAATCCAAGTGCAAGTTCCGTATATCTTATGGGTGATGATTTATCAGCTGCCTTGTCGTTATTATGATCATCGAGGGATAGCGATACACCGAGCGAACTACATTTGGAACCGTACGCAATATGACTATTCACTTCACTAATGCCACACTTCTTCCAATCCAGGATGATTATGGACAACATCGACATCGTCAACAAGGCGCTGACAGGAGAGATGGTGATTCCACAGTTCGAGACATTCTGCGCGCACATCGAGGAAATATACGAAACCTGCCAAGAGTTCCAGGACGGCAAAGTACGTGTTTAGTGTTTATTGGCGTAACTCTCTAACGATGAAGCTGTGAATTTTTATAAAACTCTAATTGGTCTGCGTGTGTATTTTACAAATTCTTAAATATGAAAAATAAAAATATAGTCTTGTACGTAGCGCCGCACCTCCCCACTGACTGGCCGCCCTTACAGGCGGCTTGCTACATCCCGCAGTTGGACAGGGTGGATGCAGAGCTGTGGGGCGTCTCGCTGTGCACCATCGATGGACAGCGCTACTCGGTCGGCGACGTCGAGGTCCCCTTCACCATCCAGTCGGTCAGCAAGCCCATCGGATACGCCATCGCCTGCGCCGACAACGGACCCGACTTCGTTCACAAGTGGGTGCTGGCTGACCAGTGTGGCCAAATTGGTTTAGCGTTAGGGGGAGGATGTATTTAAAAAGTCGTACGAGGATGTCTTTAAAAAAAAAACTAGTCTTCAGCCTCATTTTAGGTGCAGTTTTTACAGGTAATGTGGAAAAACTATACCTGACATCAAGTTCTGGTGGAAAGTACAAAAAAAAACTCCAAATATTGTCATTAAAGATGTAACAAAAACAACATTGCAAGCGCGACAATACGAGTATGACGGTGCGAATCGTACATTGGAACATTTTTAGTCTTTATTCCTACACTAGGTATGCTTTCACGACAAAAACGTGGTGATGATGTAATTTTAAAATTTCTGAGGATGTCATTATACTTTTCATTAGGGGTGACTTTCCCCGCAACATCACCAATTGGCCACACTGCTGACTGCTGGGAGAATGATAAAAACAATAATTCATTTTACATTTTGCTATTAAATGCATGTAATTAACATCCTTGACTCATTAAAAAAGAAAATGGCCGGATTGTGTCAAGGGAACGCCCTGTACCATAACAAACACTATGTCTGCGTTACCAGGTATGTGGGCCAGGAGCCGAGTGGTCGCAGCTTCAACGAACTGTGCCTCGACAACAACAACAAGCCACACAACCCGATGATCAACTCGGGGGCTATCATGGTCTCCACTCTGCTTAGGGTGAGTCGCTTAGGAATCACTCTAATAATTCCGAAAGAGACACAAGATCACCATTAATTTTGTCTTTAGGGTAATAAAGCATCCCTTGAAGTTAACTTCGAAAAACAAAGTTTTGCTGACCAACCTTGCACCTGCTGTAATGTTCCAGCCGGAGTTGGACATTGCCGACCGGTTCGACTACATCTTCAAGAAGTACAAGAAGATGACGGGCGGCGAGTACCTGGGCTTCAACAACGCCATCTTCCTGTCAGAGAGGCAGGCGGCCGACAGGAACTTCGCGCTGGCTTACTTCATGCGCGAGTACGGCTGCTTCGCCAACCAGAACATTGACCTCGTCAGCACGCTCGACTTCTACTTCCAGGTCGGTTAGGAAGTCGACATGTATGCTGTCTCAATTAAACATCTTATGCACTTCATTTGTAATTAAGGTGTGCTAACCATGCATCTGCATATCCCCTCGAGAATCACTAATTAATGCACATCATATGCACGACCCATTCCTATAACGCACCTTAGTCTCCCAATATCGATCCTTCCCTTCCCGAAATTAACGCCTCGCGCACTGCTCGCCGCCTCACTGCTTTCACCAAGTGCCGTCCGTCTTCAACCGAACTACGGCGATCGCCATGCAATCGCCCTTGACGACATGTGACGACCCTTGACGGAGCTCTCAGGGTCGCCGAACTGACGCGTAGATCGGGGCGTCGACCCATATCCCCTTTAGAATTCCTAGAGCCCTCTGATCAGATAGCAGGGCGAAGACCGGTGCCAGGGTCTGCAATGCGCAGTCCTGGCCTTTGTCAGTTTTACATTCAGGACTTGAGTACTGCTGAATGTATTTAAACGCCATGCTTAATTGCATAATTACAATGATACGCTGCTATTAATTAGAATATCGCCAATCGCGCCACAGGGGCTTGGGTTGATACAAAGCCGACTTTTCTATAACCCTACCATGAATATCTCATCTATGGCCCAGTTGACTCTAGTCTAACTCGTCTCACCACAACACCCATTCCACATCACCTACGTTGTCTTGCGTGCCGTCAGATGTGCTCTCTGGAGGTGACGTGCGAGTCTGCCGCCGTTATCGCCGGGACTCTGGCCAACGGAGGGGTGTGTCCCATCACCGGCGAGGCCGTGCTGGACCCGGAGGCCGTGCGGAACACGCTCTGTCTGATGCATAGCTGCGGCATGTACGACTACAGCGGACAGTTCGCATTCAAGGTTCGTCACAGGTCGTTACCCGCGAAAACGTAAATGTTTACCTAACGCGATATTAAGGAGAGTGCGTGCGCGGCAAGGAAGTTTGTACTCAACGCCAACTTATCCGTGATATTGATTTTGTGTAACAAGCTGCGCAGTCAACCTACTTAATGCCTACTCAGCCAACTGACAACTATAAACATATGAGTAGTTTTGGTTTATCATAAATGACGGGATTCATAAGATTTGTTACCATGACACTATATTTATAGTGTAAATCGCCTTATACCATGACGAGTGTTGACATCCGTTTGGTTTGTGTTCTCCAGTGCGGTGTACCGGCCAAGTCGGGTGTCTCTGGTATCATTATCGTCGTCATCCCTAACGTGGTGGGATTCGCGCTCTACTCGCCTCGTCTCGACGCCATGGGCAACTCAGTCAGAGGCGTCAAGTTCTGCAAGGTAATACGCACCTCACAGCTTAAATCTGATAATCTGCTCAAATAGGTCAAGGTGTGAATGGGCTTTCAATTATTCAGTTAATTCATGCTTTATGTTCGTTTGCAGTCAACCAAGCGTCACACATAGAAACGGTCAATTGTCACCAGTTACATGGAAGATCGATCCATAGACCTCTGTATACATCTTATGAAATTTATCTTATGAAAATTTTCATAAAATCATGATAATGCGTTCACTATGCATGTAACCATTATCTAAACCAAATATGATAAAAATGTGCGTAATATATCACATTCATGCAACCCTTCTCATACAATTAACCCGCTGATCATCTACGCCTGCCTGCCCACAGGAGCTGATCCAGAAGTTCAACTTCCACCACTTTGACAACATGTCGGCCAGCACGCCCAAGCTGGACCCACGGCGGACATGCGCCGAGAAACGGGCCGACATTCTGTACAGGGTGCTGTTCGCGGCGGCCGCCGGCGATCTCACCGCCATCCGCCGATACTGGTACGGTTCGGGAGTGATGCGAAACAAACTCGACATTCATTTTACATTGCAAAAGTATTTTACGCTTCACTTTACCTAGTCTTTACTAGCTTATTATGCAAAAATAACTGAATTGAAGTGTAGTTTTGTAAAAAAAAAAAAGAGAGTGTTGATGTTACCTAGGAGCAGAAGAAGTAACTGTTTACATTAGCTAATAGCGCGAATCAGTCGCGCGACCTCCAGTGTTGTGCGGTACAGTATACATTCAGGCGCTCACTACCAGTGCCACCTTGCGGCAAAATTTTAATTACCGATGCGCCGCGCGGCGGCATACACTTAGCACGGCTATTGACGCACAACGTTTGAAATTAACACATTCAACTCACCCCTGCAGCATGATGGAGGTGAACCTGAACGACGGCGATTACGACGGGCGCACGGCGCTGCACCTGGCCTCGGCAGAGGGTCACCTCAAGGTCGTCAAGTTCCTGGTCGAAAAGTGCAACGTACTCGTCGACCCCAAGGTACGCTAGATACGAGTTTTTAGGAAACGACAACGTTTTGAAATCATTCAATATCCACAGTTTTAACATCTTCTTGACGGAAGATTGTGATACCTACACCAAGATTTCATGTCATTCGAAATGTTATTGTAGCAGCGCAGCCTCACAAGTTCCCAACATTGCTATCACGTATTTAATTAAGAAGTCAGCACATGGTCCCCTTTGCTTCGATACTTACTCAAATGCGTTACGATCATAACAACTAAATATTGCATGACCGGAATATTATCTAACGCACACAATAAAAGCACAGCCGACTTACCCCCTACATTTTGTTCTCCCTCCAGGACCGCTGGGGTAACGTTCCCCTAGACGACGCCAGAATGGGCGGCAACTCGGAGATCGTCTCCTTCCTGATCCGAAAGTACAAGGAGTGCCGCAACATGCCGAGCGAGGACGACCCGAGCAACGGTCTGGACTTTGAGCCGGAGCCGTCCCTGTCGCGGCGCTCAATGCGACAGCAGCAGGGTGGCACCACCGACTCTGATCAGGAGCTGGACGTGCTGCGCGCCACGGAGACCAAGCTGAACAACCTGGCGCTCTTCGAGGCGGCCAGGACGAACGGCACGACGAACGGCACGGCCTCAGCGGTACCGCGGCTGGCGCTAAACGGAGAGATGAACGGGGAAACAATGACCCGGTCGCGGACGGCAACCCCCGAGAGGAGGCTGGAAATAAAGACGGAAACGGTCGAGCGTCAGCCGGACCCGAAGCAGCCAGAGTCGGACCTGGAAATCCAGAGAAAGCCGGAGCCCCACCCGGAGCCGGAGACGGAGATGAGAAACGGACTCGGCGACCTGGATATGGATCCAGAAACCCCTGAGGAAAAGTTAGAGCACGCACCACAGCTGATTTTCGAGCCGAGGACTGATGAGAAATCTCTGAAACGAGCGCAGTCTGTTCAGTCATCCAGAGCGCCAAAGCTGGTGACGGTTCGCACCGTAAGCATAGGCCAGCGGATGCATCGATCGCAGTCTCACGTACAGAGCTCCAGCGACCACGAGCTCAAAACGCGAGAATAAGGATGAGATGGTGCTATACGAACACTTGTTGCTTACGTTTCGTGTGAGGCTAAGGGAGACGCATTTGTGAATCGTTGTGAACATTAAGGGGCTTCTCATCAGTCGTTGGCTCCAATATGCAGCTGTACTTTGTGCTCGGGACTGTCAGGGTGTCTTACAATCGCATAACGATTGTCATATCATTATAGTGCTTCGAGGTAATTGTTAGATGCGGACAGATTCCCCGCATAGCATGACTTCGTGGGCTCAAATGGTGGGGTATTGCGTTTATGGAAACGGAAGAGGCCGCCGCCGGTGGGTGCAATCGTCGTCGCATTACGAGAGTGGAACGTTTAGCAGTGTCAGACCCATGCAAGGGGCTCGCGCAGGCGCCAGCCACTGCATGGAGGCAAACTGTAACAACTGTGTACTTATTGTGTAAATAAATGACTCACGTTTCTACTTTGATGAATATGAATCGGAGCAGCGTAAAAACTAACTCATATGCGGTAAAAAGCGTTACAAATAATGACCATAAGTCAGGGCTCATAGCCACATAAGCATGCGTGAAACACGATTTTCAACTCCGTAAATTCTTCGTAGGGATCAAAAAGTGGTCGGTGAATTCATCTCAGATGTCCACGATTCAAGAGCTAAAGTGTTTACTGACTGTTATAAAACACAAAGTCAAAAGCATTACAATAAGACACGAAATAAGACTCATGACAACGGTCCGATAGGTCGACCGGTCAGGTCAACGTGGCCATGGTTTGCATGCCACCGCGAAGCAAAGCGCCTTTGGCCGTATACATATTACATATACATACATTGCAGCTAGAGGTCTGCACCGGCCGGCTGCAGCCGCGGCTGGCTGCAGCCCCACGGCTGTGGGCCGGGGCGGCTGCAAATATCTCCAAGAACACGGCTACGGCTGTGGCCACGGCTGTGAGATTTCAAGCTCAATCTTAAGTACTCAAATATAAAATTCTAAATCCTTAATCTTAAATTCTGATAAGCAGGCTAGCCTGTAAAAATCATGCAAAGGATGCCCAGCAACATTGAAAGTGGTGAAGCCTTTGAAAACCTGTAATGGTTTTACCATTTGCTGTAGGGGAGTTTGCACTCTGGTACAGAATACTAATTATAGGTACCAATTGTTCCTTCATCATCAAGAGCTTGACAGTTTCAGAAAATCCAACATGTTGCATTGTCACATACCTCTCAAATCAATCTCACCTGGTCATTAGGAGAGCACCTTACAGCTATTGAAGACGAGCATTCAATAATTCTTTCAGGTAATAGAAAAAGAAATTACGCCTAGGCAAAGGCAGGTAAAGGCTTCATAAAAATATTATCTTAAATAACTCTTAGATGTATTTCTGGATTTTCGGCAAGTCCAATTACATAATATAAAACTGGCGTTTTATGTTCTAACTGGTGTGTGAGTGACCGCTAACAGAAAATGCTGATCAACGAAGCCAATGGAATTAGATTATAAGTGAGCATGAACCTTACTCACGGTTAATTCATATGATGGTGAAAACCCTGAACACGTAATTCACATGACGGTGAAAACCCTGAACACAATATTTCTTACGCGAGCTGTTGACTTTACTAATAAAATGACGTCTTCTTCTGAAAATGTTAAAATTTGATACTCAATCTTTGTTTGAGAGCAAATTTTTAACTGTTTGGCATTATTATTAAGCAAATATAAATTTTATGGCTGTCTATAGTGACACAAAACAATTTTTATTGCCACTTCTATGCTATTGACGTCATTAACAACTCAAATAAAATTTTTGATTGAAAGAGGCAACTGTGGCTCGCACGTCCTTGGGGATTTGAGCGAAGATCATTATTTGGAAAAATCAAAATAGATCAATATTTTTCTTTCTTGGATGCTCCCTAGTGTTTTGATGCCTTGCATATCAAATTAGTTTGAGACTTGCTCACAAGGCTGCTTCAAGCCTGGCATATCAATATCACACCCCAGAAAATATGCAAGGTAAGAAAGAAGCAAGAGTTTTGACTAGACAATCACTGTTTGACAGTCCATCAACTTCAGTTTCATTTTCCATACCTAACATTGATAATGAAAAGCATCAGGGTCTGTCGTTCTGTCCCACAACCATGCTTCAGGATTTGGCATTAGATGTCTACACTGCTAGTGCTTCTATTCTGGTTCGTTGTTTATGTTTTCTGTTGATGTAGGTACCTACCTAACCATTTTTCTTAACCCCTTGCAAGGGCTTGTGTAGGCATGCGTTGCGCATCAGGCTTCAGGCCTTCAGCCTAAAGCCAGATACACAACCACTTAACCTATGATGCTTCATGAGCTTGAGAATCTATAGCCCATTGCAATGTGCTTTTGGCTATATGTTTCAACCAAAAACAACTTATTATATACTATTTGGTTGCATTTCATTTAAAGTATTCACGGCCGGCTGACGGCTGGCTGCCCACAGTTTGCCACGGCTGTGGGCGGCTGTGGCTGTGGAGCCACGGCTGCGGGGCGGCTAGGCTGTGGAAAATTGCAGCCGTGCAGAACTCTAATTGCAGCCCCATCCTGTCGCGACTGCTAGTCACGCACATATACCGACACTGACGAAACAGAATAGACTGCTTTCCAGCGTCTCGTCGCGCCAATGTATCGAAAAGTGCCTGCGTCAGGGTGTGATAGTGAACCAGATCGGGAACGGAAAACCTCGCATAGCCTTCCATAACTGACAGATAAGCTATCTATGTGAAGAAAATGCACTAAGTGAGCATTGATAATTACCATAGCTCATGCTTAAAAGTCGATCGATCGTTGTGAATGTGAATTCGTTTGTAAGAGCTGACAGCTTCGGATCCCTTTTCACTATTAAAACACATTCAATGATCAATCGATCTCCAAGTGTGGCTAATGATAATAATAAGCTGTCTATGTATATTATTCCGTTCCGAGACCGAGACGTTTAAAATCTTAGGAATTATTAGCAAGTTGTTTAGCAATACAATTTCCTAAGCAGCAAATGACGCGGGAGAACGGCTGGCAAGAGCGTCGTCAGAACTGATTCCGACCGGTAACGGCGCAGTGATAGCGCCAATACGAGTACCTACCCGTAAAGGCATTGTGGACCATCCTGACTGGAAAGACATTTGATTTGATATAAACATCATTAAAAGTAATTTCCTTACCACGATCGATCGAACTATGGACAATATATTTCGTACGTTGCTAAGTTCAGCTTAGATGAACAAGTTCTAAAATGAATCTGTCACCATTTCATAACGGTCATAAATATAAGTCCCTTTCAGCTTAATGTTATATCTTGAAACTCCCCCTATAACTCATGCCTCATCCTTCCCTGAACGAGCCCCTCCAGCCTCGACCCATCAGTAGGCACCGCATAATGAGACGGGTCAGCCGTCGCGGCCCTGTTGCCACCTCGCGGGCCGGCCCGCCGGGGCTGGTCGAGCGGCGGTGCACAGCGATGGGATCTGTGGCAGGCGCGTCCTCTGCCGCGAGCCGGCCTCTGAGGACAGTCGGGTGACTGTGAGCGAGCGCCGCGGGAGGTGGCCCAGGAGTGGTGTTGTGAAGACGCGGAACGAGGGCGCGGCGGGTCCCCGTTGATGGTACTCTGGTGGTTGTGTCGCGAGCGCTGCCCGCCGCAGCAGTCGGGAACTGTGAAAGCCTCCAGAGTTGTGTGCTTTTCCAGTGTGATGATGTAAGAGATTATCGCCAGCGATCGGTGACAGCCCGTCCATCTGCAGCGGCGTCCAACGGACGATAGCACTCGTCAGGACCCAGCCACCATGGTGCTCATTCACGCCATCGACGACACCGTTCTGGCGGTGTACCTGATTGTGACGCTCAGTATCAGCGTGCACCGCGGCCTGCGGCGGCGCCACTGGCCCCAGGCGACCCTGATGACCTCGGGTCCCGGCCCGGCGCCCGGTCAGAGTCCCGGTCACGCTCCGGCCCATACCAGCGTAATGTCGGTAGCCATCTCCGTAGTGGCTACCTTCATGTCGGCAGTGTTCGCACTAGGTGAGTCCCGCGGTTCATTGAGGGATGTGTTGTGACCGTGCACAGAGTACTTGCGGACAGTGGAGAACCGATGGCGTAGTGCCTCGCACGATCTGTTGTTATGTTACGTGCGTTGCATTTGAAAGATATCGCGGCAGATCGCAAACTTTCAAAGGGGTCACCAGGGCGATAACGTGACAAGGGGAAAGACAGCTTCATCAATAACGAACTGAGCATTGTAGTATGTCAGTCAACCCAGGACAACACTTCAGAAGCCTGAAGTGTCTGTAAATCACGAATGTGCGCTGGCTGGCTTGCTTTTTCTCACGCAACTGGGGTTCACTCGCACGCCTTGAATACTAATGAAATGGGTTTCGAAACAAGAGCTGGCCATGTCTGCATCTTTTCCGTTATAGAAGGGACAACAAAATAAAATGGCAAACCCACACTATGTACATCGAAAAAAAACGTTACCATGAGATTCTCTCAGCCAGCCCAGCACGCGGTCGGCTACTCCGCAGTTCGCCGGCCCACCGCTGTATCGTCTATGCATTGATGCAGCCCATTCCGTCTCCGGTGGCTTGTGGTCATACATATGTGTCGGCTGATCGGGCGGCAGCTGTCAGCGTCTGCACAGGTCGAGCGTCCGGCCCACGGCCCCGTCCGTCCGCGGCGAGCTCAAGGATGTTCAGCGTGCCCTCGGGAATACGGCGCACCATGCTACTACGCTGAAAACACAGCCGTGTTTTAACGTGGAAACGTTTGTAGCCGGATGCTAACTCATACTATCAACTTCGTTAGCTTGCTTTTGGATCACGACAGAACATGTGCAATTTTACTAGACGATCTGCAGGAAGTGGATACAGGGTCCGACCTAGCAAAAATGTTGTATTTAAATCTAACGCACCAAGTGAGAAAGTCAGAACTGAAGCCTGAAGGTTCATCTCATCGAATTTTTTTTCGTCCTGAAGTTATGACCCGTTTCTGCCAGTGACGTAGAAGAATAAATTGCACTTTCTTCTGCAGAGCAGGAAATCATCTTTCCGAAAGGCCGACAAAGTATGTCGCGAGGGAGATGCCATTGCCGAGGGCCGACATCCAGACCGACTGTACGTCATCCTGGTGGTCTGGATGTATCTGGTCAGCAACGCTCCGGTCTGTAGTGATGGTGCCCGGTTAGACAAGGCTGGAATCTGGCTGAAACCGGTTTGAACGGAATCGTGGACGCCAATATGTATCAGAGACATCAGCTGTTCGCGTCCCGAAGCAGCTGATGTCGCACGTGCAGCCAGTGCATATACCTGAAAAAAAAACTGACGATGACATGTCATCGTCCATGTATTAGCTCCAAACTGTGCATGGGAAGCATAAGACCGAGGACATTGAACTACATAACTGAACAGTAATGAAGCGGCACTTACTTTCGCAGAGTTAGATCGACGCATTGTTGCGATTCCAAGTTAAAGAAGGTATGAATACACCAGGCGGATGTATTTTTTGTCAACAAACCCAGACAAACAAGATGACCACTTGCCAAAAACACCGGCTATTGAGGGACTCTATATAAACAGCGACCAATCGCAACTGGCGTAAATATATACTAGTGAATCTCGAGAGACGCTCGAGGAACCCCAAGAAAATACCGCCCTTGAATAGGCTGACAGCCGTGTGGAATAGCGACCTTTCCAAGGCACGCTCAAATGTTATGAACAGCTCCGTGAATATGCTCGCCGAACAGGCCGCTCAGACTAGTAAGGCTTACATATTCACGGCGCTGTGATATCGGTGGTTGGGGCCAAAAAGCGAATGAGGAACGAGCCGGACAGACTCAGTCCCAGATTTAGATCCTCGAATGTATATGCGTCGCCGAGTAAGCCGACAGCAAGCCTCTCAGACGAGTCTGCCGACGTCCCCAGCAAACGCATATAACATTCGAGGTCCCAACGCACCAGCCGCGACAACAGACATTGCCCGACTGCCCTCCGCCGGCGCGCCCTCACCCGACCTCACCTCACAATCACGTGGTCAGCAGCCGACCAATCACTGCACGAGTCCGCGCCGCACAGCCCCGCTCCGGCGAGAGATGCTGTGCCGCAATACAGCGGCCGCGCGTCGGCCGAGGAGAAATACGGGCGGCCGAGCCGACACAAGCGGGCGAAAAGACAACTAAATTGACAGTTCTAACATACTCCCCACCAAAATGGGGCTTACCCCATTTTCATAACTAAAGTCCACTTCTCGCACCGGCGCGCTCACTCACAACTCACTGCTCAGCGGTCCGGGAAGGCCGCCGTCACGGCCAGCCAGATGGGCAGCTGAAGGGCGTCGGCCACCCGGCCGTACCCTTCGGCCGACAGGTGCACGCCATCACTCCGGAAGTAGGAGGCGCACGCGGGGACGACGCAATGGCGTCTGCCAGATCGACGCAGCAGCTGGCGGCCCAGCGGGATCAGGCGCACGCTGGGCGGCAGGCAGTGCTTGAGGCGCCTCTCGAGGTGGTAGGCGGCCGTCGTCTCCCACCTGCCGCCGTGCACCTCACCCGACGGCCGGGGCAGCGGGCCGAGCACTGTCACCCGGGCCAGGCTCTGTAGGTGTCGACAGACGCCCCTGGCGAGCCGGCCCGAGTCAGACAGGGTCTCTTCGCTGAAGTTGGCGAGTCTGGTTAATCGGCTGTACACGTCGTTGCCAGAGAGCCAAACGACCACCTCGCCCAGCCGCCTCCCCCGTCTCTCCGCCTCCGACGTCCAGCGGTCCAGGATGGCGTGGAGCTCATCGGCAGTTGAAGCCCATGTTGCGCCGCCTCTCGCCAGGTTGAGGAACTGGTGCCGGCCGAGTCTGGATCTCAGGCCGGCATCCCGCGCCACCGAGTCTCCTATTAGGAGGTGCAGCGGGGGCGCCGAGCGTCGGAGGTGCCGCGAGAGCCATCGGTGTGCCTCTGGGTCGCTGACCTCGAGCACGTCCATGCTGAGCGGCCGATGAGCTGACGACCAACTGAAGGAATAAACAAACATCCGTAAGTACACATAAATTATGGTCAGACAGCAAAATATGACACGGGCAAACAGGGCCACTGCCAAATGGCACACAGACTCAGTCGTCAGACTGAATTTTTGCTGCCACAAGTCCCCTCCTATTCACTTAGTCTTAACCTAGCTTAACTCTACTACACCAGCTTCATGAACCCACTCGGGCTTCTTCAGGGCACCGCCTCCAGACGGTAGAGTTTATTTACAGGTCGGCGTGTTTTCACGCCCCTCATGAAAATGTGAGCTGCTCGGGGCTGACCATCCAAGCCTGGGATCAGTGAAATGACCCGCGCCAGCGGCCAATGTCCTCGCGGTCCTTCGCCATGGACCAAGACGACGTCACCCACGGCGGGGAGCCGTCCGGGGCGACCACGAGGCGAGACCGTCCAACACCTAAGCGTGGCAACGTATTCGGCCGTCCATCTGCGTACTAAGTGCTCACTGACACGCCGCTGGTGCCGCCAGGCACGAGTAAGGCTGTCACAATACTGAGCCGGTGGGAAGAGCACTCCTCTGATTGAGGTCACTCCAAACAGTAGATGTGCGGGTGAAATGAGTTCCCCATCCACGGTGGTGAGAGGCCTAACATTCAGATGGAAGGAGAGCTCATACAGAGTAGCGGCAAGCTCGTCGTGGGAAAGATTGCACATATGAAGAGTGATTTTGAGACACTTTTTCGTCAGTCCCACGAGGCGTTCCCAAAAACCTCCCCACCATGGGGCAGCCTCGGGAATGAAACTCCATTTGACGTATCGGGGAATGTGATGTAAAAGAGCGTGAAATGTCTTGGCGTTGTCGCTAAAAATGAGGGAAGGCGTGCCACGAAGAGCGAAAAAACGCCTGAGCGCCAGTTTCACCTCGTCAGTGCTTTGAGATTTAACGAGCTCTAAATGTACGGCCCTGGAAGTTGCGCAAGTGATCAGGAGCACCCAGGTTTTTGAACCTGCGCTAGTGACCAGAGGCCCGAAGAAATCCAAGCCAACCTTTGAGAAGGCGCGACTGGGCTCTGCTCTAAAGGACGGCAAGCTACCATCTGCTGAGCGATAGCTAGCGCCTCGATAGCGCCTGCACCTTCGACATGTGCCGACTACCCGATTGACACTTCGTCGACGGACCAAGTATTCCGCCGATAGAAGTGCCAGAGTCGCCCTAGTGCCCTGGTGAAAGCTCCTGCGATGTGCCTCATCGATGATCAAAGTGGTAATGTGGGCAAACTCGGGTAGAATGGGAAGAGGCAGCTCGTTGGTTCTCGGCACGGCACACAGAACATTGCCGTCGGTCAGCCGCGGCCGAAGTTTCTCGATCGACGAGTCCTTCGGCAGGGCGTTACCGTAGCTCAAAGCGCTGAGTTCACGGCTATATGCCCGGGCCTGAGCCTCGCGAACCCAGTAGAGCAGTGCCTCTTGACGCTCCTCAGGCGTGAGAGGACCTGACCGGCGATCAGCCTTTGGTTGCCGAGAGTTGTGAATGAAACGGCAGACCCAAGCGGTTTTGTTCACAACGTGTTTCAGCGATGATGACTCAGTGATGTCAAAGAGACGCGAGTCCGTACGTTGAGCCTGAAGAGTCACCTTTGGGGAAGTCTCAGAACGAGGACGGCCCTCTGGCCTATCCTCCTGCTCAGCCCTTTCGGAGAGCACTGGAATCTCCTCTGAGGTTTCAGGGGGCCGCTCCTCACACAGCAGATCCGGACCTTCCCACCATGGGCGGCACTCGAGTAGAGTCGACAGACGCATCCCTCGAGTTCCGAGATCGGCGGGGTTCTCCGTTCCTTTGACATGGTGCCACTGAGTGGACTCGGACAGCTTCAAAATCTCTGTGACTCTGTTGTGGACGAACAGTTTTCGCCGCTTTCGATTACGGATCCAGTGGAGTACATCGGTAGAATCCGTCCAGAAGAAAACTGTGGCTTTGGTAAGCGTCAGCGACCGCGAGACAAAACTCATAAGTCGGGCACCGCAGAGAGCGGCCATAAGCTCCAGTCTTGGTATCGTC